GAGCATACCTCGTGGCGTTGGTTTCCGTACGCTGTGAAAAATAATCCGATTCAGCCGGCTCGAGTATACGGTGCGTGTTTCGCACGTGATTCGTCGTAACAACGTATTTGCTAAAGGTAAATATCAGAAAGTTACTACTCAGTCGCTATCCGAACTAACAGCGAAAATGGATTTTAAGTTCTTACCTATAAGACATCTCTTTGATGGTGAAATTTTAAAAAGATTCTCTAGATCTCAAGTCCTCCCAAGGAGGTGTGTTATGTCACTTTTGAAGGCCACTTGATTCTCATTGTATGAGCTAAGAAGATGAACAGTAAGTTGGTTTGTCTTCGAAGGCTTTAGCGGTCATTGTTTGATCTTCAAACGTTATCAAAAACAAGTCTTACTCTATAGCGGAAGACACCGCTACCATTTGCGTGTCTACCGAACTACACGTTACTGTAATTTAAAGAAAGGTACCGTATAGCTTCCTGCCACAGGTGACACCACTGGTATTGGACGTTGCTTTTAGCGCGCAAATAAGATCGCCAAGGCCGTCGTTTTTTTATATGTTTATGTAAACGGGTTTCTACGTGGTTTGCCTTCATAGACAACACAACAATTTTCATTTGTCAAGATCATGTTATATACAGCCGGCGCAGTACAAAAGCAATTAACGAAGTTTAGTGATAAAATTTGTTTGAAGACTCTCATTTCGCGGGACTAAGACAGGTTGCAGTACGCCAAGTATTGAGGATTCTGCCATTAGGTTCACATAAGCCCCTAACGGTCTCTTAAACTTCAGTTCTACCTGAAAAAAGAGTCGGGAAAAATAAACTTTTGCTTTGTCTATAACGACAGCGGTATTGTTTCTGACATCACTCGATTACATATTTACGGCACTATGATCGAGCCGCGATATACCAGTATGTTCTCTTCCAGGGCTCCGCGTGGCAAAAAATTTGTATCATCTCAAAATTGCCTATAGATAGGAGGGAATCTCTATGCATTGTCCGGTGCGTTCTGTTTACGTATGCGGACGAAATATTTACTAGCCGTTGACTTCTGTGTGTTGTGCTCGCTGTGCTGCTGAAAAAACGTGAACGTTCGGTGTATTGTTTTTAGCATATAGACAAAAAAAAACAAATTATCAGGTATACGCCCCTACGCAAAGTGACCCTGCAGACGATGTGTGGCCATCCCATAAATTGTCTAGCCTTTTAGGACATGAAGCAAAAGAGTTTAACGATAGTCAAAATTCTTTCTGTGCCTATCTTTTCATATAAATGGTTGTTTTACCGAGATTTTCCAATGTATTCCAGTCATATTGCCACTGGTTTGTTCTTATATAGGCTACCTTGAATGCTGCCGAGCAGAAGGTATGAATATGTAGTTCGTTCACATTCAAGTAAGCCTTATGTAGGAAGATATTACTGGAAAACAATAGCGGTTTAGCTACCTCTCTAGTGTTTACATCTTCTTTTTTACGAGTATTATACGTTGTAAAAAAGAGGTATTCTCCTGTAAAACAAACTGAAACCTTTTGTTGCTCTTGTCGCCATAGGGTGTGGCAAGGCTTTCACACGCTTTTCTACCTAGGTCGCACACAAAATGGCGTGATCGCAATGTAGGTAATTGTCGCCCTTGTAAGCAATTGATTATTTTAATATAGAAAACAAATCAAGTCAGCATCTGAACGAAATTGAGGTATCAACAATTCTTTTCAGCAGTATGTACTACTCTCTTCGTGAAAACTTTTCCTTTGTCCATATTTGCTTCCACTTCATTTAATTTTTCCAGTGCTTGTACTGCAAATGTTTGGTGAGATATCTTGTCAGCTTATTTAGAGCGTCAGGAGAGTCCGCAGCTGAAGCGTAGTGGGTCAGCTGTGTCGCTGGTCAGCAAAAAAGAGCGCTTTCTAGCTATGCGCTCCGATCTTGCATAGCCGCAGATGTGTCTCGTTTTATAGATTAATATTGAAGCTTCTTCTTTACAACTCAGCCACGCTTATCTGACGAGATGTCCTTATTGCGCGATCGACACCCTCCCATTGCTCTCCCTAGACGATTCCGACGTCTCCTCGTGGGTAGTACAACTGCCGGCTCTCCGCGCGCGATCGAGGTTACCCTGCACTAGCCCGTGGGAGCAGGCACAAGCACTTCCGCAAGACAGTCATTGTCGTCGTGCTAATGATCGTAGTGATAGTCGCTGTTCTTCTTGTTCAATGGTGTTGACGTTCACCTTCCGATCAGAGATCCGCGAATCCCTGGTCAAGTGGGAAGAGAGAAGCGCACACTCGTGGCTTTTCCCCTTTATCTGGCGCACGGCGCAATCACCTACGAATTCACGTGTTTTAGCCCATATTATTCTGTCAGGAAAATAGCACGCCGCTAGCCGTTTAGGTGACTCCGATGACGAGTTCGGCACACTAAGGCTTCGGCTGATTTTAACAAGACTTGTTGTTATCCCCTCGGACTAGTTTAATATAACGAGCCTTTCTTAACAATAAAAGCATTGACCTTACATTCTTCCGGCAATATTCCCATTACCGTCGCCCACCGAGGACTTAGTTGGTGCGTCATAATTGATCTTCGCAACCTGGCCTTCAACACTTACAACGTAAATCGAACAAGAGCTTGCCATTCTGGTTCGCCTTGCTTTGTTACCCTCAGCTTTTAGTCGCAGGCACTGCGTCCTGATATCCTTTCTCTGATCACAATTGAACAATGCGCTTTCAGAAGCGTATGTTAGATTTTTTCTGTATATGATTTCAAACTACTAAAATTGCCTGGACGTACGAATCGACTCTGAGCATAGTGGTGAAGGTAGAAAAAATAGCAGATCTCGCGGTGCTAAGACGCTTACCGAAAACAAGCTGAATTCAAGCTTATCCAGCAGCAACAAACCGGGCTTGACAAAAATTCTTTCCGAGGTAAACCTTCGTACAGCTTTCCCACGCTTGCCTTGCGCCAGTCTTGAAGTCGAACCAAACGCGGACCGCTTCCGCTTGCAGATATCGATGCATCTGCGTTACGACCTAGTTACGTATATTCAAAAATCGTCCGCACTCCTTAATGCACCCGTCAGGTTTTCTCCCGTCGAGTATTATGCGAGGCAACTTGCGATCAAGCAGTATTGATTGCTACCCCTTATTGTTGCTAAGCAGCAAAGTTTGATGATGATAATCTATATAGATAATAAGCCTTCATTTAGCGATCCGGGGAAGTATTTTTTATGCTATGCCTAACTGAACGCCTATGCTTATTTACCAACTGTGTCTCCGTTGGCCATTAAGGAGCTTACTGAGTGACCTCAAATTGAATTATTGCAGCAACTTGGGCCGTACCTCCAATCGGACTACGAGGGCGAGTCTATGCTTCTTTCCCGATGGTTCTATAAAGTTGTGTATGTTGTGGCACTTCAGACATAACGTGCCTCTTTGTTGAACTTAATACTACACATATCACATTGTCGTTTTAGGTAGAGCTCGAGTATTCTCCTAAGTTGTACATCTCTCTGGCTTTTCCTAATGTACCTATCGAGATGTCCTCACTTTTTATAGGTTGTGCATTAGAGTTTTATCGCAGCCACTGACAGTATTACAGGGGCAACAATACACTGCAATATATGATGGTGTATTTTGATTAGAGTAAATTAGATGAAGCCATGGATTTTTTTTCTAGCTATTGTCACAACCATACTTTTTATTCGATTGTAATAAAAGGGGTACATGTAAAGTGTCTGAATTTGTTCGAAGGCAAGCCTCCTTCCTAACAAGTTGTCTTTCCTTTGTCGTAGTGACTGAGACGATAGTCGCATATCTTTGTATCTCTGATTGTACGGCTTTTACTATACCTAATTCTGTCCCTCTTTTCACACCTTTCATACGACGTTGTTGGTCCACTCTTTCTGGAAAGCTAGTTGTAAAAACGCTATGACCGCTTCAAACGTAAATAACCTGAGCGAACGGGTCCCCTGCAAACCTGCATGTTTCGTCACTCTTTTTTGTTGTCTTGCTTGAAATATCGCACACCCAGACGCCGCAACTCACATTTGAAGTGGCTCAACTGCCAATACTTGTGGCTTCCCTCAGCGGATGTTTGTCATGACCTCGATGGAGTCTAATGCGAAAGCTGACAAAACACTATCCTTTTCCTTTAACTTCGTTTTCAAAATGGTGGAATAATCTCGGGGATACGTGAAGGGTGGTCAAGCAGTAGAGTAGCGAGCAGAAGTAAAGAAATAAAACCAATGGGTTCGTACCATCTAGTCCCTTTTAACTCGACTAACAGTCTTTCCGTGCGTGCTGATAAAGGGTATTCAAGTGCCTTTATTGTCATCCATTTGTTTAGAATTTCGCGCGTTGAACGGATGTGCAGCTTCGTCTTTAGGACAGGGTTTGGGTTCTCTATTGTCTCGACCTCTAGAATCCATTTGGCCTAGTCCTTAACTTGCTCCTACAGGGACCCTTGCGGTAACTGTAGTGAAGCCTGCCGTTGGGATTCAAAAGGTCGCATCAATAATTCGTTATCATATTCTATATATGAGGCTTATATATTCGTGGTCACGTCGTGTACTTCTTACAGAGGTTGTACGTAAGCCGATATCGAACAATCATGAAATTCAATTGACAGGGTCAAATTTTTGTGTGTGCCCTCTATCGAAATATTAGTTAGCAGTATCCCGAAATTTTGAACTATTTGACTGTCAACGTACCAGATTAGTTCAGCGGCAAAATAGATAAACTAAGGAAATGAGCAAATTAAATTTAGCCACAGCATCGCACTAAATGTAAAAACGTAATGCACTAAATTAATGATACCTTTAAATGTTTATGTGAGCATACTTGTAAGTGTATCTATGTATATAGGGGATCGCTTAGTCGACAATCTCAATAACTCTTCATAATTACAAAGTGCCGGGTGAAGCGTAAAGGAAAGCTATGGAAATGGAAAACGGAAAAAAAAAATAGAATAAAAAAGGCAAAAATATATATTTTTTTTCTAGCAATAGCCCCCGCTTCATGTAGCCATGTTTATTTACTGTTAACTGAATACAATTTCAAATTAGTTAGCGAATTGGTTTTTACGTTCGGAAGATTTTCTTCCTTACGTGTGTCCCTTTTTCTCCATAGTCTACAAATGTACAATTACAATACGATATAAGTGTGTTACAAAATGTCAAATGATGATCATTTTCGGTGAGCATCTTTTCGATGTGTTGATTTGATTCAGAAATGTTTGGAAAACAATTTCGAAATAAGGAAGCTTGATCCTATGGAGGAAACCGATAATCCCTGCCGACAGACGCTTACGTCTGGGCAGCATATTAAAATTATTTAATAACAACACAATTAGACATGCAAGCCACGTAATGGATATCTTTAAATGTAGATAAACTCGACTGATGACCGTCCACAACTATTAAGAACGCCCTTAAGTTAGTTTTAATCGTCTCCCTCGTTCAATTCGTAAATGAGTATTTGATTGGACAGCTAGGTTAGAAGAATCAACGTGTTATTGACTCTTTTTCTCTTCCATGCATAACTGGTTTTTCGGTTCTAAATGCTGATCGTTCGGAGCCCTAAAAAAAGTTAGCCCATGCGGCTCAGGTTCTAGGCTGGTCGAATGCTAAGTCGAGTCCCAAAATTCGCTACGGTATTGTGCAAATTAATGGCTGATCACGCTTATTAAACAATACATTTATCCCTGAGCAATCTGAATGCCTCTGCTTTTGTGAGTTCGCACCTTGTAGAAAAAATTGGTGCGGAACAAAACCGATCAACTGCCACCTGTTTGGCGCTATCAGATCGAAGAATATATACTTGCCATCGCGCGATGTTACCGCGAGTCCATTGAAGTTATCATTAACTTGAGTTTCGTGACATACTACCCTGAATTGCTGTATATATTTTTTTCTTTCGGCTGAATTCGAACTAAAAGCCTCCGTCATGGCGGCGTTTTCTCTGCTTGCGAACATCTGGAACAAACCTTCGAGGTCTTCGGCGATATAATCGTCGTACCTTATATCAGCCTCCTCAGGCTCCAAAGGTACGAGTCCAGGCATGGGCCAATTATGCAGTAACGATACGGCCACTGCCGTAGTGGGGCTGTTTCCACCACTAGGGCACAGCACGAAGAATGAAGAGGGTACTACAGGGCTGGCTACCAGAATAGGATTCCACGAGTTGATCCCGGCGATTGTGTAGACCGGGGTGGGAAGCTTGCCCTGAAAAAGTGGGTCAATCACCACAAACCCAAAACAGATCCGTAAAGTAGCTGACCTTCTTATCGTTTTCGGAGCAATCAAAGTAACAGTGATAGGATAGAGGCTTACGTGAACAAACATTGGATCGGCTTTGTCCCTCGCGCTATGGTTAAATATAATGCTTTAAAACATTTTCTAATTTCCTGAACGACTAAATATCCTGGTCATTAAATTTAAAAAAAAGTGGAAATATTTTAATGGAACTACCATATTATATATATATATATATATATATATATATATATATATATATATATATAAGCTAGCAAAAAATCGTTGCAAAAGTTTTGTGTCACATGGATGCGTAAATTTGGTACAGAACCTCAGCTCCGTCATTTAGGTGCAGCAATTTGTCCTAGCGACTAGTAGAGGACAGTTCGGTAAAAAAAAAAAGCAGATACGTAATGTTTCGGGAGCTTCACTCAACTCACTCAAGTTGCTATATTAGACCACTCACTTAGATTTCACTAGAAAAACTAGCACGTTTAAACTAAATCATTGCTCGGTAAAATTAAATTGTTTTATAAAAACGTAACCAAACATCAAAAAGTGCCTAAATCTAAAAGAATGTATATAATAATAATAATAAATTTGCGAACATAGCACCAAACACTCTCTGTATTGTGAAACCAGCGAAGGTTTTTTGCAATTTTAACTAAAAAATCAAATTTGTATACTTTTCATTCAAGTAAAACGAGTCAATTACGATTACGTTTTGACGCCACTATTTCGTACCTTTGGAAAATGCTTGTATGTGTAAATGGCCTCGCCGTATTCGGTAACCGTACAAAACAACGCTACTAATCCTTTTTCGCAGACGCAAATGTCCGCCAGAAACGTTTTATTGCTGGTGGGCTTCCATAGGACGTTTGTATGAAGCTGAGCGTTATTTTGGTGAGAGCGAAACATCTGAAGCAGACATCCCTGATACTTTAGGAACATCGTGGGGCCACGTCTCTCGACCCCTTCTTTAATTTTAAGTGTTAAATTTTTGTCCGTTTGCATCAGGTTTTGGATATTTTGATTTAAACTGTTTCGTTTGACCCATTCGTACCGAACGCAGTTATCGTGATATACGATCTTGTTATAAGAATTAAGGATAGTCCGCTGTCGATAGAGTGTTTTGAATTCTATTATTTGACTTTTTGCTATTTCGGCAATTCCATTCGTCATAGCGCAGTATAACCTGAAACGCACCTTGGAGTCGTTGTTCATACAAGGAGCGTCTTCATCCACCCGAGTATCTCCAGTATTGGCGGTGCTATTGGCATCTGTAATAACAGATGAGCTTGAAAAATGAGCAGATGTAACGGCGACATTTACATGTGGTCTCTGTTCATCTGAGACTCCTATAAAGTGCACGTGTTGATGTGCCAATAGGCGACGTGTGTGGATCAATGGCTGTTCAATACAGCTATTGGAGCGCCGCTCAGGCAAGTACGAGTTAGCAGACGACAACAGTGGACGCTGGATTAGTTCCGAAAAATCATTGATTGTTAATGGATATCCCAGTCGATTCATCGAAGTCACCCATTGCTTGACTGTGCTGGCGACATCATTCTCCGATGTGACACACAGATCGTCCCGTGCCAGTAGGTCGCGAAGCATACCTTCCGTAAGTAGGTATTGACTTAGTATGTATTTTTTGAAGTCATCTGTGCCGAAGATTGACGCAAGATTCTTTAAAATCTCCTGGCGTAGCGCTCCCACTGGTACCGCGTAATTACAGCGAATCAGCTCCACTTTTTGATAGATGTTAGATTGACTAACTAGCTGACGTGCAACGATTTCTTCCAATACAGTTTGTTGAATGCTTCGTGCCAATTCGTGCAAGTTGAGTAGCTTGCACCACTCATTAGGCAAGGTATCGTAAGTCATGTAGTTCAACAGGTGCGTGACGGTTTCGTTTGAGGCGTCCACGTAAAGATAGCTGCCCTCAATGCTCTTTGCGAAACGCGGCGAAAACGCCGACAAAACTCTTGCGCACGCGCCCCCCACGTATCCCCCATTTCCGTACACATAGATGGGAACGTACAAACCGCTGATAGATTTCCAGGGAAACTTTGCAGAATCATTAGGCCGAATAGACAAATGACCCTGAGAAGGCGAGGACCACCTGACTTGTACCTGAAACAAAACCAAAAAATAAGAACTATTTATATTGGAAACACCATTTCTTGCACATACTTGAGCAGTCTACTATTTGTAGAAGGCGATTTGATAAGGGGTCAGGGTAGCCATGGCTTCCAAAAGCCAAATCACTTATTTCTTTAACAGCTAATGACAAATATCATCGCAGCGTTGGCTGAACTTAAATACTGCCGGCCGACACAAGTCCGCTGATCTAGACTTCTGCCTTCATCAATTAAGTACATGTTATTGAAGTAGTTGAGTTTTGTGATTCCAAAGATGCAAGATCATAAACAAGTAACCCTTGCCTATTTTCTAGGCATATTACTAGTACGAACTTCATATTACTAATAAAGTTTCGAAATTTGTTGAAATTCACACAGAGCTCTAAATTAGAGGGATTACAATATTCAAGCTCAAACTGTTCAAAAATCCTCCCGCAGAAGGTTCAACTTTGATTTAATTTTTGCTTACTCTCAGGCTATTAATAACGTATAACGTATTTTTAGTTATAACTTAAGCAATTCTTCCTCGAACTTACTTAAATAAGTATATATAAGTATTGAGTATATAAGTAAACGAAGTGAATTGTTCAATTCTAATCGGGTCGAAAGTCTCAGAGTTTGTCAGGACATGCGTAGATGGTCATCTTCACAATCAGCGAACGTCCTTTATAGTAACCTCTCAAATATATAGCATAACGTTTCACTTCTATAGTTTTAAGACTTTTTTTTTTATAAGACTTAGTAGTCTTAATAGATATTTGGCTGCATTTCCAATAGTGTATGTAAAGATAGCGATACAATCTTAGAGCATCTCAAGAAATCTGAAATTACTAGCAAGGGCTTCTCAATTCACGATGCCCCATAACACGAGAAGTTACACGATCAATTATATACATCACACAAATATAATTTCTATCTACTCGTTTTCTTTCGAAGAAATTTCTAATAATAAAACTAGTAATGATATACTTTGTTACCTCGCTATCGGTAGCCATTCTTATTCAGTCGAGTTCAGGTGACCTGCGATTGCCACGCTAGCAGAACAATGATCACCACAAACGCGAGGGCATACGCGAACAGACACAAAACAGACGACAATTGTACGTAAACGATCGCAAAAGCAACGCATCGAATAGGTTTGTGCGTGCATAACAGCGGATGAACGTTAAATACAGAATACATCTATACCTCATTGTACTACGCTTTTCGGTGCTTCCTCCGAAAAACCTTAGTCTTACGGTCGATAGCTACTTGTCGTTGCCGATTCTTCTAGCAACGTTGTCTCTAAATTTAGTGGTGATACCTTTTATTTTTATTATTCAAAAAAAAAAACCAGTTAGAATCTGTGCTATAGTCGAATTGAGATCGAACATCTGTAACTTTGTACTTCGTGTAAAAGCACCCTTGTGGAAAATGACTAATTGAAAGCAATTCGTCAGATCGCGTATTAGAAGTACCCGGTTTGTAGATCGTGACAGATAAGGCTTTTGTATTAAGCCAGTTTTCATCAGTTCATATGAGAGGTCACACTCGAATCTCATGCAGCGTGGGGCTGAACGAGAATAAGGAAATCTATTTAAACAGAACAAACGTCTCTATAAAATAGTAATGTTAAAACGCGAAGAGCTGAAGTTATTACGCTTCATTATAATTAAGTTTACTGTATCATTAATTAAGTTGTAACATTAGTTGTTCTGCGGCGCAAGCTGTAATCGACAGAAGTCGAAACCATCTGAAGTTGCTGAGCAGAATACGTAGCGAAGTTTCGTTTGACTTAAGAACGGCGCTAACGTTTGACTAGAAGGGTGCCCTTGTGCTAAAGCAACTTTGCAATATCGAACCTTTCATTAATAATATTGGCCTAGGGCATCGTCGAACAAGATAAATTGGGCATTTCAGCATAGTTCTGGGGCTATCAGCTTTCATCGATGATCATATAAGTACCACAGATTTAAATAGAACCAACTACTAATTGGCTTCTTATAGAGGAGCTCGACACTAGAGGTCTACCATTAAAATCGCATTGAGCAGTCATGTATACGTTGCAATGCAACTCTATTTGAGATTGATAATTTTGTCTTATAAAAACTGTAAGATAGTATTACACACGACACTACAAAAAGTATTTAGCTAGATCTACATTGAAAATAATGTTACTCTTATGTAAGCGCGGTAATTCAATGGCGTTGGCGTCTCGAGGTCTCGTTTCATAGCAATAACACTTCTATTCTGAACGGCGTGTGGTCTCGTTTCCACGTAAATATAGTTCGAGTGTTAAGGACAAATTTTATCTGGACTTGGTTTCGGCCAACGCAGGTGAGTAGTTAGAGCTTTATTAAATGGTGCGTGCAGGACTAATTACGATTAACAGCGATTGTCGTCGTGAAGAAGGCTCGCTATTAAGTTCATGTCATATTACTGTTAAACAAGAATGACTTTTTTTTGTTGATAATGGTGAATTTTAGTTTAGCCTTATGTTATTTCATCCGTTCTATTAACCCATACAGCTTGTCTCCTACTTACTGCAGTACAAATCCTTAGTAGAAGTCGTTTAGAAGTTATTAGTAGAAGCGGGTACTTTCAAAATCAATAAACTGTTTAGTGAATTGACTAATGTACATGTGTATTTTTGGCCTATTTAACGTTGCCTCCTTCAGCAATCGATTACACCAATGAATATTTATGCGTTTACGGATTCTATACTATAGATACGTAAAACTTCGCTTTGCTACGTACAGCTACGGGTATAGGCTACCTTGTTCACTCTCAGACCAGAGAGAAAAACAGTTTTATAACAAAAAAACGACTGAGATTAAATCTATGAGAACGAAAGAGCTTATCGCGTACTAAGGAGACCCGAATATTATACTAACCACAATTTTAATAGGTTTATAAATTCGCCCATTTCTTTCAAAATAGCAGAGAAGGCCGAGTGGATAAAGTGGCTTGCTTAAATCTAGTGCGATACAAATGTATTATCCGATAAGCAGAAAGATTAACGTAGAGAACTGGGCCGATAAGGCCCAGCGTAACATAGTTATACTTTATTGATATATATATATTTTTTTTTTCATTTCACCATCTTTTTATCTCACCATCATTATCTAATAATAATAATAATATATATATATATATATATATATGAATTGAGGACAAGCAATTGGTCGTTCACATGGCTACTTGGAGCTGGCCGTCGAGGGTTTGTCTCATAAAATAGAACTACGTCTCCACATAATAGAAGCTCAAAATGTAGATGCAGATACCTCGTCAAGGCAGATTACGTTCTTAAACCCACCAACGTCACTGCTTTCGTAATCCGATGAATTGCGCTACGTAAGGCCGGACATCATATACAATTTTCCATAGCTCGATCGGGCTTGGCATCGTTTGAACAACAGTGATCTTTGTCGAATCAGGTGGTGTGAAATAATGAAAAAAAAAACGGCCAGAATAGGCAGGCCCGCGATAAGGGTCCACAGGCTGATCATTATATGGAAGCGACATGTTCGTCTATGCGTGTATCAACATGTGTTGATATTAGTTCGATTCCCAGAAAAAGTGTTAAATATCTAATAATAGTAGAGTTGCGCTACACGTATAGCTTCTAGCTTTACATTTCCGAGACGACGCATCCGCTGTGAAACTTTCAAGCAGTATGACGCCACGCGATGGTCCACCCTTATGCCAGAACCATTTCACTGCAGAGGAGCGTATTGTGCATATATGTAACGCAAACAAATAGGCTCTAACTTAAATTTAAGCTATTTTTATCAAAGCTACCTTGAACGCTACTCAGGCACGATAATCGCAAGTGGCTGTTAAAATTCAGAACTTTACTCATGTTCAGTAGTCGATCACCGACGCAATACGATTTTCCGCGTCTACGAGGATATCGTTCCCTTACATCAGATGCTGAACGGCATTTTGTATTGCATAGAGCTTTTAGTTTGGCCATTTTCTGGGCTAGTATACACGCACTTAGCGAATATAAACGACTAGGTCGTTGTTATCGCTGCATATATACATACGTTGAGCCCTACTTATGTTGATTAGCGGTATACTGTGTAATGCAATGACTCCAAGCTTGCATGTATATGCTTACCCCCCGGCCCCCTAACGACAGGCGTTTCATGTAAACGGGTACATTCTTCTGACGTACAAACTAGCGAACACAATGTCGTGGGGTGTACGCTTAACGAAAAGGGCCAACGCGTAAATATCGACGTATAGTGACGTTATAAGCAATACATTTCTTAAAAAATCAGAGACGTTTGTTTGTTTTATTACGATTTTGCCGTGTGCCGTTATTACGCGCATTCCTTTAAAATCGCCATACTAGCCTGCTTCTTTAATCATATGTAATGACAATATAATAATTAGACTGAGCTTCTTTTCGGAAGTCGACTGAAGCATCGAGTGCATGTGTATATATCCTGCTTCGTTCGAAAGTAGACGCGCTTATTCAGCAAATGAGCCATGGTTACATGAATTATCTAATTATCCTCATGTCTTGTATATTCGTGCGCTATGACATTTTGAGGATTGGTTGAATCTCATCGGATAGATTCAGACAGTGGCAAATGTACTACGGCCCTATTGAGTTGTGACAGACCCTAAAAATTTGCTGTTTGAAGTAATATTCGCTCAAATATAACGTTAGTGCCCTAGACGATAGATGAAATCGAATATAAAGAATAAAGCGGAACAGAGGGCGGTGGTGCAATTCGTTCGTATTGTACACTTGTCCTGGAGCTGGCATCCAGGCGGAGCCTCGAAATAAGCAGAAGGTCACAATTATATATTACATAGGTCTTTAGTAAACGCTCTATCAAAAATGTCACTAAGTAACCGCTTCGTTGTTTACGGTGGCAATGAGAATGCTAGCGCGACCGGTAGGAACGTACGAAGCATCGATCACTGTATACTAATGTGCTCTATTGACATGTTTCCTTTGCTTTTGACTAACCTCGAATTTCGGGTGCCCCCACACTACAAGAGGAGGCGTGGGCTGAGCCAACTCGGCCTCGTACCCGCGCCGCTCGGTCTGCATTAATTTCGAAATTTGCACATAGTACGCCGTCCGTTAAGTTTATTCTCAACTTAGCCCAGGAAAGTGACAAGCTATGCCAATCAGCCTCAATGGGCACCTTTAATTATTGCTCGGCTGTTACTCACGTAATTCGCCGGACCAATTTATTTTCTCTAAAGTCATTTAAGGAACTGCGTTTCTGCTCTAGTTACTGGCAGTGTGCTATTTAGATGAATATGTATTTCTTATGTTCGTTATATGTCTAACATACTCCATTGATAAGTACACAGTAATCGAAAGATGTCAGTGAATGGTTCGGTTGATTGACTCAAATCTTTCCGCCCGAAGCCGTCAGCTATCGAAGGCGCAATTTTCGAATCGACTGCTAAATACGGTCTCTTGTTGTTGCAAGCGTGCATGGGAAGACCCATGCGATCCCACGATCACATGAGCCTGCGTTTCGAGATGGCATTATTTTGTTACGTACCTAATACGTCATGAAATTCTACTTTCAAACAATGCTGCCTGTCGTTTGATGCGCATCCAGGATCTGTACGTACTGCATCCGACCGAGTCGCCCGCCAGCAGTGGCTCACTTTAACAAAGAAGACTGCTAGTTATTGTTCATTTTATTTATTATTATTTTAATAGTTTGCTTGTATAGACGAACACCTATTCCTTACACATGTTATGCACCGTACAAACGGACCCTATTCATCGTAGAAGCTCAATCCGGCATACACAAATAGTACCTATCTGTAACAGTGTGAAATGGAATACGTTTCGATGTCACATGTCTATTGATCCCGATAGTCATAGCACACTTCAGTACTCTGTACGTGTCAGTGAGGTAACGTCAAAACTGGGCGCCTATTTCTATTGATCGACCGCTCCCGCTACCTTAAACATGAAGACAAGTAAGCGGTTTACATTTGCTCAGACCTGGTGTAGTCGTACGACTTAGGGGTCCAAATGTGTAAGCATCGTGACCACTGAACTGCCCCGTATCCTTCAATATAGTAGTCCATTCTCCAACGCCTCGCTTCTGTAGATTAGCGGAAGTGGGCTTCGTGGGCGTAATCCAGTCGGAGAAAATGTGAACTCTCAGAAATGTATGCTTTATGCTGGTTTGATTATTGCTTTAATTTAATTACATTTATTTATTTCAGATGACCCCAGTCAGAGTTGCCAACCTTATATTGGCGAACGCAGGCGCATCTCGAAATGCTTGGGTGTCGTTAGTATAGTAGGCCTTCGTTTAGAAGCGACGTAAAAACAGGAACGAGAACCACTATAATAGGTTGATCATTTGCGCTAAAACTCCACAGGGTAGCCGCAAAAATAACGCTTAAAACTCCATCTTGTAGAATATGTTTGTCGTTTCAAAAGAACACCGTCGTCAAATGCAAATGGGCATTTTTTGTGCTGTGAGATATTGCGAACTAAATGTTTCCAACAGTGGTTAAAGTACGCGGTAGTATACTAGTTAAGCCGCGAAGCTGCCTTATTCCAGGCTTTAAAAGCAGGCATGTTTTTTATAGGAAGGAAAATCGCTAATGAATCGAGGCCTTAGCCTATTTTATCACAAGGCCTGTTTCCTGTGGAGCTCTAAAATTTACGAGATATCCTGCGTATCCTTTTACTCGTATAAGAACACACACTCACACACACACACACACACACACCGTTCTAGGTACCCGGAGGCCTGTGCTTAGCTAAGAATAGCAGCAACCAAAAAGAAAGGGCACGATTGCCTGTGTAAGTGACCGCTGAATGCATGAATCGAGAGATTCTGTGCGAGCAGCCCGCTGGCGGTACGTATGAGTGCTTTCGCATTATTGTCAGTTGGAACGTCGATGTCCTTTGAACAGGGACAGATAAAACCTACTAGATGAGATAAGTTGTGTTAAGCGTAGACGACAAATTATAAAAGACTGAGAAGTTAAATATTTCACTAGGAGCCTATTCGAATAAACAATTTAAGGTTGGACATTCCTAAGCTTACATTGCTGCCTCTTTTAACTATTCGGCATTTCGTTTACGCACAAAATGATTCCCCTCAGTATCGCTGAGAAACTAACTATTTCATCGTTACTTTAGTGTCTGGCGAACGCAATGACCAGCTTAGTCCCCGAGGCCCTTATATAAAACGTACGATTTTTACAAGACCCTCCGTCGAACCGCAGTTCAATAAATGGCATCCTCTGTTTTCTATGCAAAAACTGCTATCAAGAGGTTTTCCAAGAAGGATTCACTTCCAGACGACTCGACTCGATCTGAAACAATGGGTAACAGCTGACGACACTAACGACTGAACACCCAGAAAGTAGACGATATGAAGACACTATGAACGACCTACGCTCCAGCCACCAATATTTTTGAGCTTGTTCACAGCGCCGTTTGCGGCTGTAAAGGATATCGAGGGTAAAAGGACATTTTGGAAGAAGGAGTCGCAGGAAAACAACGAGGGCCATGACAGCGAGAAGGCAGCAGAAATCAATTCGGTAAGGTCGTTCAGTGAGTAGGTAAGTATCGGAGAGACTGACTGACTGACTGACTTTGTTTTAATATACGGCAACACGAGATTTGATATCAGTTCGGCTTTTGGAACGTATGAAATGTTTGTTACTAGCAATTTAAAAAGTCTGAGCTGTTGGGGAGGGCCCAGAATGCTCGATAAACCGAATGAAATACAAACTGCTAGGCGAGGCAATTTTACGAATAAGTTAATCGAAATGTCTATATATATATATCTTTTTCTCAGAATCTACTCTCGTTAACAGCAAATATACATTGAGGCTATAGGCATACACGGACACCTTTCACGTTTTCATGTAAGGCATACGGAAGAAGATAATCTCGTTCCCCTATTGGAGTTTGTCCGCTCGCTCTAGGCAACAAGTGAATATCACAATCATTTCCTGGATAAGATTCGACTATATCTTAGTCTGTTTCTTACCCGGTGGCCTCTGCAACAACTGCTCAATCAAATATCAATCTAGTTTCGAAGAAAGATTCATTGAATTTGAAATTAACCTAATCTACAGGCATCGGCGGAAAATTTCCTGACTCTTTTGCAAATGCTGTAGCTCATCGTTCGATCTACTTATCATTTGTCTTACATACAGTTTTAGATAAGGCCTATTTCCTATATATAAAACGTACCATAGTTGTTTCTGGATAAATCGGCCATGAAATTGTGTAGATAGCCAGCATCTACTGCTGTTACTCCTGTTTACGCGATGCTCCTTTAGGAAATTTTATTGTATATCTATATATATCTTTTTATTATATTATTGTATATATAGAAGTAGGGTTGAGATAAAAGGAGACGAGAGTGTGCGTCTAGTAAAATGCTTAACTTGCGCTCGAAGCAGTATCCGTATCATTGAGAAACCTGTTTCGTTCCCAATAGAAAGCTTAGCTTTGGCCCACTCTGCAAAGATATTATTACGGTACGACTAATTCTGCGGAAGTGACCGAGACACAAGATCTCTAGGCCAGCCAGCTGTCAGATCATCATAAGAGGCAGCTGGTTCAACGCTACGTCGCCGCTGGCGCTGAAGGACAAGGCAGAAGGTAGAGCTCGGTCGCGAAGTGCTGGTGTCGATGGAAAAAGGATTAGGACGATTAACGGTATGCTGTACAGGAAGCATGTGGTCAAATACCGGACGAAGTCGTCAGGTCCAAGCCGTAAAAATTCCACAAAGGAAAAATGCCAAATACATACTACGACGGTAAATGGAACCTTAACGGTGCCAGGACCGTGGGGGGCCTGTGGCGAAGGCGTTTAGCCGTTGAGAAATAGGCAGCCGGGAGGCGTCGCGTTAAGCACACAAGACCATTCAAGAAGCAAATCTCAAAGAACGCAGCCGCACGAGGGACAAATGAATACTGCGTGGACAACATGGCTAGTAAAGATGGCCGAATATCACGGTTAGCTAGACGTGGTTTAGATACAGAAGCCCTAGCCACTATATATTGTGAATCTTCGACTAACGGGCTAATCCTCCGCAGCTTCTTATCTAAAGTCACTCGAATTCAAACTGGGTGCCATACCTTCAGCCGGATGGCAGGCAAATGCGTTCCTGCTACGCGGTCATATAGGCTAAATATTAACAACAATTGTTTGATTTAACGGTAAAGAAGAAGGTATAGATTTTTTTGTGTGTAAAAATTGTGTAGAACGCTAAACGAACAGATAAAATGACAATAACAAAGCTTACATCAACATTAATGACGACATGTGTAGAATAACTGAGTTTTTATAACTTTATTTTTTAAAGGGTAAGTCAACCTGATGATTAAATTAAATACTCATGGAGAAGCATAGCGTAACGCTCGATATATAAACATTATAAATGGCCAAAATTTAACGAACCATTTTACAAATGCCAAGAGTACTTTTGGGCTCCGCAAGAGCATGAAGACGTAAATAGCAATAAATTCAAACGAAGACAACGACTTCAATAGTTGTGCTGTATATAGTGAACAGCCATTGGAGAATCGAGAAGCCTTATTAGATCGATTAGAGCACTGCACAATATTTGTATTCGACAAGTTCGCCTGTATTTATTAAGTAGGACTTGCGTGCAAGGTATCGGCGTATAGATCGACAGTCCAACTCCCATAATTTCCCTACTGTGACCGCTTTAATCGTCGCTACCCGTTCGGTTCGACGGTACAGTGACCTTGAACCGAAAGTTCCTTTGTTATGATAGCGGTAAATTGCTACACCGTCTTTGATCACGTCGAAATCGCCCGAATCAATAATATAAAAGTGGTACCCGGGATTACCCTGCTCGAATACTAGATCACCAGCACGATAACGTCGTTCGAATAGAAAGTCTTTTACATCTTCATACACCTTGTCATTTCTAAAGAAAGGCTCAGGATGAAGCTTCATAGTCCTCAGTAACATTCGACGCTCGTAGAAAGTTTTTCGAGGCGCCTTTTTAAGCTTGTCGGCGTCAGTGTCCGTCTCCGGATTAAGTGCGTCTTCGAACAGGGCGCTCCTGTCATAGTGAAGATCAGGAATATCGTCCATTCCCAGCGAGCGCTCCACACGTTGCCAGCTGGAATCATAGTGTAACGGAACAAGTCGGTTGCATTCAAAGCGCATTAAGCCTATCAGCCTCTAACTAAACAAACGCCTCTCATTTAGACACGGGTCATCTTCGTCTATGCACAAATGAACTCCTGCAACATTAGAATTCCTTTATGTCACCAGATTGTTCAGAACTGATTAGTTTCATGTAGTGTACATAGACGTAACCGTACTTGGCGTGCCAACACGTGACGTTTCGGTTTAGTCGGTTTTTGTATTTGTGGTTTACCAGCTGAACGTAGAGGTAGACACATAACACGATGTTTGCTGGCGTCAAGAAGCAGACATTCATGTTATGCAAGATTGGTTTGCAAAAAAAAGCACAAGCCATGAGGATGGAAGTGAATTTAGCGCAAACTTCATAGATAATTAACGTTAGATTACTTAAACATGACAACACTGATGACAAATTACAAATCATCTTAAGGGAAGCTGGTTTCATAGGACCCGACCTAGGACAACAAAAATTGTCCTCCACAAAACGGGCCTTCTTTAGCACTGCGGTACATCTGTACTTGTTCATATTCAAAACGATTCAGTGTTTTTATCTGCGTATCGTTTAGGTTGATTCACATTCTAAAATGATGCAAAATTTTCGCATACGCTTTTCCTAGAACAGGAACGAAATAGGTTTCTGTGTCATTCACCGCCCTGTGTGGGTACAGTCTTCAAAATTACCTTTTCATATTGCTTCAAACACCGTCGAAAGGAGATTATTTAGGGTTATAAACAGACCTACTTGGTAACGGGATAATCATACAGCTTCTGTAGAAATCCGCTCGTTCATGTAGCCACAGGACCAAACACTTTCTTTTCTCAACTTAGAAAGTTATGTCTATAAGCTACCTCTGTTCGGACCTATTCATCGTTCTAACTGTTTTGCTGCACATCTCGACCAATGCTGTACTCTATCAATTTTATTTTGACGACCCTGTCGCTTCGAAAGCATCGCCTGATCAACTAATAGCGTCTGTAAATCGAATGTTGACAGTTATTCTTTGAAACTGAGTGGCCGATGAGTGAGAAGGACGACTTGGCTACCTCTCATCTGTTTTTATATGTATGTGTATACCTTTACAAACCGTGGACTTGGAGTGCCTATCGCGAAGTCATCTAAGGTACGACTCAATAAAATAACGCTGCATTTAGCTAGAACAGATTTAGCTTATTGATATTCATTTTTTTTACACAAAATAACAATTGTTTAGTCTGCCGCTGAGCAGAACTACTTTCATTCGATATTCGACTGTCGTTTTTTGTTGTTGTGATTTTTTTATTTACGTACGCTTTACGTTGAAGGATAAACGGCGAATAAAATGAGCAGCGTTTCTATCAGCGTGGCTGATTTTATGCTCAATATCGTATGTAAGCACCACTTCGTGTATTTTGCTTTATTGATGATTACGAGCATCGAACTATGGACAACGTTACGAGCATAAATGATAGTTTGTTTAAAATTTTTTTAAGTTCTGTAAGGAGATCAGTACAGACGATAGAAATTTGCCAGTTCAAAATCTACTCTTGTCAATCGAGCTCGAACTATTAGATTCTGTGGGGTTTCGACAGTGTATAATGTGTCGCTGTAGAATCTTCATATTGATCTCTCTCTGAAAACTATAGTTTATCTCTTATTTAGCTATTTTCAATAAGTCTAAATGAATATGGCAAATAATAGATAGGCCGCAGGACTTCTCTAGTAACTAGCTGATAAAAAGGTAACTAGCGTTGCGTAGTAGTGAAGAGAACCTACGTATAATTGCATCAGTTAGCCCAGAACATGACTGAGCCCAGAAGCTATGGCACATTACTTTTTTGTGGTCCGAAGCGAAAGCTCGTCCTGACTAAGTGATTTAGATCGTGCTCGCAAGCTATTATTATGGAAGTTTCAACTTGCTGACACCGCTGTGACGTGCATCATCGTGGTCGAACGAGGTTCACTGAAATTTAATTGGGTAGCGGTAGTTGCTGAACTCTTGTGCTACTGCAATACTGGATTTCTGTGGGATCTGATTCTATTCGAATCTGAACGGCGATGCCGGACCGAAAACGCGAAACACAGTGGAGCCTCTTAGATTCATTAAACCTCAACATAAACCTTTATTTCTCGTATCACAGATAGCATGGTCACCTATTGGTACATTATTTTCGAAGGAAATCACAGATCGATTACCCAAGTACAAAAGAAGTTGTGACCACAATTGCCACGCAATGGACATTGATCGACAGCCGGCTCCGATCATGAAAAAAAAAGTGTGTTTATACACGGATTTGTTCCCAAAACACGACATGTCCATAAGATCAGCGGACAAATACCTCATCACACTAAACTGTTTACGTTCGAAACTCACGTTCGGGCCATGATATCACACGGATCCGGCAATTTTTTGCGGCTCCTTTTCCAACCTGCTGTCCTAACGTCACAGACGATTATGTCGTTCTAAGTGCGCGTTATATCTATTAGATGTATTTACTACTTATCTTTAATCCTTGTTTCAAACAATACCGAAATCGTTCCAATCCGATAGTTCTAACAAGTACTTGTGGCTCATGCATAACTGGTGGTAATTATTAGTTGTTAGTGGAAGTTGATAAATTTTCTACATGATTCCTTTCAGCTAATCATGATAAACGAAATCGGGTTTTTCGTGTGCCGTTCGTACGAAAAAAAACCACCATTATCTAGGCGTAAACCCGACTAACGACCCGCTTAATCATTGTATTGCTGATAGCCAGGACAAATAAACTGGTTGCTAACTGTACTCGTAGCGTCTGCCGCCATTTTACTTTTATCTAATAAAAACAATGTTAAACGATGAACTTGAAAAGACCTAGCGACGCTATTGAAGCAGATCCGATTAATATCGTCGCTCAGAGATAGAAATCTCCTTTTTCTTGTTACTCGCTTTGGGGGATAGAACGAAAAATCTGCTCGTTTTAGTGCAGCAGATTTGGGCTATACGTTATAAATGATCGAATTTGGCTTTCATGCAAAATCTGAGATAAATCGAGTTAAATGAGAGAAAAAAAATCGTTGCATTATGCTTGTGAGGCTCGAAGTGCCTCATGAGGTATCGACAAATAATATAATATCTATAATATATATAAATAAAGCAGCGATCATGGCTCTGTATCGTGGATCATGGATGCGCCGTGAGCAACATATACGTTTGTGTTATGAGCAGAATCGCCTGCTCCATTGTAATTTTCGATCAAACCCACAAGCGGCATTTCCAGCGGCCGTGTATCTAAGCCAGCGGAGTCTCAGACGTTTTCAATCTGCAAATGACTAGGTAGGTGTCTTGTCTTTTAAGTGTATGATAAGTCGTTATCAGTATTTTCAGAACAGAATCATCTTGTTGCATTGAGGTCAATTAAAGATCTGCTCTTCCAACATTATGTGAGTGTACATGTATAGACGTGCATCTGAATCATCCAACTATCTGTAGCTGCGCTATTCGATCCGAATCTGAAACATATTTCACTCCATATGTCATTTTCGTAGCGTTGGGTTTTGTCCAGCCAATGATTCTCGTTCTACTTTTTGATGCAATATCTATGAACTGAGTCACTCCACAGGACCCACATCCTTCCGGCCGATGTTGCGCTAAGAATACAGACAGGGTTGACAACACCTCTAGCTAATTGCCGATGAGCCGAAACGGGTCTTACCACGATAATGGCTTAAAACCTTACTATTTCGACGCGCTTCAGAATTGTCGCTCTCTTCAATGTAAACACCATTTACGGGTGCGTGTGATAGGACCTGTCTGAACAGGGCGATGCGGTTCTGGGTAGACTTTCTATTGAAAAAAGAGGTCAGTGTCATTATTGGTTGGATCTCCACATCTGTCACAAAGCACAGACGAATGGTCCTCAACATGTTCCTTATTTGACCGAGCTCGCTTCCTTATTTGGCGCGCTCTCGGAGGCAAATCGACATATAGATCGGTCGCGGAACTAAGTTAAATTCCGGCCTTAGCGTAATTGTAACACCTTATTAAAGAATTTTCATGATTGCTTCTCTAATGTTTGCCACTGATTTTGTCAAAGAACAGTTGCTGGGAATTAGTTAGACACGAAAACAATAAGAACTATGCAACGTGTTTTTATCAAAGTGTTCCCAAACACAGTAGTTATTATCCTATTAATAACTAGCTGAGTAAACGCATCAACTTGAATTGAGTCGTCTTAGTAAATGTGTCATGGTTTTTGAGAACTGTTGTAGCTAGCTAGGCTCGGGCACTCGAATCAAAATATAGCTTTTACAGACCTATGTTTACCCAGTTACCACGTAAACTGCTAAATGCACGAGTCTATTCGGGGTCATATTAGGATTTAATATCACTTACCATTTCAATGGGGGTTGCCATTAATCAACGATTAACAGTTTCGGCAGATGGTAATATACTAACATCCACACATCTTCTTACCTTCGGACTCGATTTCGATGCACCGACAGAGTCACCTAAAGCTTGAAAGTGGCATTAAAATCAGAGGCTATCTGAGAACGGCTCATTAAAGAAATGGCCAACAGAAAGCTTCATTGAAAATGTTCATTAACTACGGCTCATTATATTGTTACTTTTAGTCACATTTAGCACAGATGTGATGAAGTCGAAACTTTGCTCAAAGTTACACCTGTTGAAGGGGCGAAAAATAGCCCGGACAATTGGCGAATACCGTTTACGTAAAAAAAAAAAGAGAAAAGATCGATCTTAGTATACTGATTGTTATAGTACACTGAAGTTTGTTGTGAAGAGTTTTCTGACTAAATAGCAGAAGCTAAAACCAATGCGCGCCACAGACCAATGGCAATTAAGTTACGTTTAAGATTAATTCAATGCTTACGCAGCTATGGCTGTTAGTTAGTCAAATAGACAGAAGATCGAACCGGGGCTATCGCAATGTACCATCGCTGAAAATACGCTACGGTACGTGACAAAGGTTATTGTTTAATATCGCTTTCTTTGCCTAAGCGGCTTCGACCAAAAGTTTGGGAACTAGGAACGTTGCGACGCGGCTTAATATTATACTTTCCGTCAATAGAAAACAAGGCGAAGAAGCACAGGGTGTCATTTTCTCATTATAGTTCTTCAAAATGACGTAGACTACGCTTTACATGCAGAGACGAACCTTTTGCAGACGCTTTATGTCCCGTCCCGTCGGCTAACTTGCTAAATCTTCCGACAAGCCTGAATGCGCCGCTGGGGGTAGTAAAGAAATCCATGGCAGCGATATTGTAAGCCGTATGTCAAAGCTCTTTCCGATTGCCGGACTGATCCATCGCGCCAACGCTTGCCAGCGGTGACCCTTCTATATGCAAAAGAATGCTATCGGATATAACGATATGCCTTTCTGTAGCCCTCTGCAATATCTAGGAGAAGCTTAGAAATGTCTCAGTTAATCCGCTGTGATGTTTTATGTAATAGTTTTATAAAACGTTCGGTTCCACTATGGACCAATTGTCGATATTCGAGTGAACTAATATCTGCGTTAATAAAAATATGCTTTCCACAAGGTAAGACGCATATAAGTATAAATAATAAGTAACTCTTAAAAACTCGCTCATAGAGAAAGATTTTAACTTTCTGTACATACTGCGGAAGTTCGACAAAAACAATTCCTAGAATCTTAGGAAATTGACGACTTTATTGTTACTAAAAATGGTCGAATGGTCATCTACATCACGGTGCCAATGGTGAAAGTAGGATAATACGTCAGCCTAATGAATAAGCTATACGTACCTTATTTTACATGGGTCTTTCCAATTAGGTATCTAGTCTAAACGGTAATAGTTTTTCATGAGTAAAGTTACGATGAAGTTCAGGACATTTTCTAAACCCTAGCACCCAACTGATCATCATATTACTTCTAAAAATTACTGTTTCAGGATAAAATATGGATAGTTGTGATAACGGCCG